GGCGCCAATTCGACCTTTTGCTGCAATGATGTCCAACATGTGTGAACTGGAGGGCCTGGCCAAAGCTGAATGGCTCAGACTAGCCACTGACAAGTGCGTTACTTGACCCGCCGTGAATCCGATTGGGAGCCGGGGAATCTCCATTGCTGCACTTGGCTGCATCTCCCATGCCCGCAACCAAAGGATCTCGCTAGAATCGCTATGATGGGGGCCGCTAGTTGTCAATCCCTAACCCAGTTCACCCACTCAGTTGCTAGTTACGCTGCCCACTTACACACACCGACCGGAGCCATCACCACTCAGGATAATAACAACAACAACACAGACAAGCCCTCACCCACGATCGGATGGCCATAACGGACAGTCCGCCGCAATTGTTCTCCACGCTGTCGTCAATCATCCCCAACTCACCGACTCTTTCAATCGTGATGCTCCAACGGCTTCCATGACAACGAAAAGTCGGCGATGCCCATGCTACTGCGCCGCCTGCATTTACATGACAGTTTCTTCGTGCCTTACAATATGTACATGCAGATTATTAGGTGTGACGAGACGCCGGGAATGTCGCAACTGCCATTTCTTTTTGGCCCAACTAATAGCACACACTTATGATTACACCCTTGACGGACCTAGTACTGACGTAGCATCGCGCAAACCAACAAGTTCGGAAATGGGCGACGATGATAATTATATCTGCTGACAAGATCTGCATGGAAGAAGATTTTTCTCTCATGACTCTCTTTCGAGAAGGTACCCGGAAAACCACCCCCAAATACCAGAATCCTTCCCGGCGGATCTAGAGACAAAACGTGCCGCTTTTCTAGTTGGGTTGCAGAGGAGGAATGAATCAACTGCTTACCGCCGAACGACACCTTGAGAATGTGGCGCATGTTTCAAAAAAAAAAAAAAATCACACCGTATCATTGTGTTCATAATGAGCGATTGCTTTTGCAATCATAGTCCTCCCTGGCTAATCGAGAAAAGAAAAAATTCCGATGCTTTTACTCATCCCCATGATTCTTTCAGGTGGGAGGGTGGGCTTTCTGATTGTCATTCACACCAACAGCACCTCGGTGAGCCAACCAAATCAACCCGGTGTCAACTCGTCTTGGAGGGTTGGATGATTGGTACGCCATGATGATTGAAAATGGCCAAAAATACCAATCCCCCGATCCCTCCTGTGTAGTAATAGTAATCCATGCCATATTCAGCGCTCACCTGGCCCTCCACGTCCGCGACAGACGAGAAGATGATTTGTGCATTCGATTTTTGCCAGTTATCATGGGCCATATTGGGGGGTGTGTAGAATTAGGTACAGGGCGGCCTATAGTAGTTGTTAATGACCTGAGCAATATTCTTGTCACTTGCGCCCGCTAGGTATCCGTGACACGATGACGATTACCCCTCGAACGTCTTCTGGTGGCAGGTCGTCGTCGACAAACAGAAATTCCCATTCTCTCTCCCTCTTTCTCTCTTTTCACTTGGTATCTATCTGCACATCATCCGACCTCCACAGTCTGTGCCCTCATTGGGACAATTCTTCTATCAGCCAGCAACGCACTCGACAATGGCTACTATGACGCAAAATCCTGCTGTAAATGCGTTTCATGCCGGTACCCAATGGATCAAGTCTCTGAGGACCCCTCGTCGTCCGCGGTCCAACATCCGCCCGCATCATCCGCACTAGGCTCTGATGTGAGGGTGCGCACATACACACATGCACACATGCACACCTCAAGTGCCGCTGGTATTGGGTGTAGAGAAATCGTGAACAACGAATGCTTTTACTAGATGAGCCCTCCATTTCCCCGTTCTTTAGTCAGGACTCGACCCAACGCTCTGGGTTGACGTGTCAAACCTTGCCGCAGCAGTCAGTCAGTCAGTCAGTCAGTCACTGCATCTACCTATAGGAGTCCCCTTGCATGTGATAGGCCCTCGACCTGACTGACCTGTGTTACGCTGCCACGCACTCCCCAATAGATACCTAGGTATACAGCCCATGATGAGCGATTTTGATGTAATGACCAACACTTGCCCTCTCTTTGCACAGCTTTGCATCATCTGATTTGGTTTGCTGCCAATGTCCAGACGCATTTGTCACTTTTTTTTTTCTTCTCTGTCCTCGTCACAATCGTGCCTGTGAGAATCAGGGCTGCATCGAAAGAGTCATTGACGGCGAGCCAGTTCTACGTGCAAAAGCCAACGCAGCGTGACCGAGGACTCCGGGCGCATATGGGGAAATAGTCCGGTAAATTGTTCTGATATTAGGCGAATCACCGGCATTCGTGCTCTTTTTGTAACGCGGCGGTGCGGATTTAAGCAAAAACAAGTTTTCCAAGGTATCCATGAGTTGCAAGCTGCCAATGTAGAGTTGATCACTGTTTTCGCCTTGTCTAGTATGAGTCATCCTAGCTCTCCAAGAAAGCCGATTCGCGGGTGCAGGCAGGTTCAACCTCTCCCGAGCCCGCGATGGACCGGACATGAATGTAGAATCGCCACCGAAAAAAGAGAACTTCACTCATGGATACTTGAATAGGCTCCCTCCCGCCATGACGACGACTACTATTCGTGACTTGCTGGAAACCACAGCAAAATGGTCGGGAGCCCGGAAAGTTTCATTCAAACAAATGTCCAGCACATCCGTGAATGTTCATACCGAAAATGGTCTGCCCAACGCAAACAGGCAGCAATGTCGCATCTCGCATAAGAAAACCTTGGATTGTGTGTGTTTTAGACGCCGACGATTCTTAGACTTTTCGGCCAATGCACAGTCGCAGTCAGATTATCAACCACATTATTGGGCAAGTTTCCCGTCGCCTCACAATTTCCCCCCTTTGCCTACTACCCCGGTTCCATCAGAGTTATTGGTTCGCCCGCAGCCTCGCCGAAAGCTCTTTTCATCCCTGTGTGAAAGGTGCCTCTCCGGTCTCTTTTGATATCTCATTGGGGGCCGTAAACATCTTCACTTCCTTGGGGCGCACGTAATCATAGTGGCCTGATGCAGTCATGGCCTCCGCTATGCTCACGGCTATTCACCCGGGGGAAGAGGCAACAAAGATGATCTGCACTACAGCCACGCCTCTATATGCCCAGGACGAGGTGGGTGACTCATTGCTTTTGCGCACTGGGTAAGAAGGCAAAGCGATTACACTCTATATGGCACAAAGATGAGCATGTGACTTGGTGTATATGCCGCGTGGCTGGTGAATATCTACCCACTCTGTAAACAAACAATAACAGAAAGTCCTCGCATGGTCATCTGCACAAGGGAGAACAGTCCGGGAGAGCGTGAGTTTGTGATCATTACTGTAGCCACTTGTATCGTTTGTCAAGCTCTACATCTCCTTGGCCCAATCTAGAGCACGACGGTGACCTGGATATTAGACACATTGTTTTTGCCACGGGATAATGACGCGTCCCTATTTTGATTTCATGCCGTCTCTCTATTTTCTTGTTTTGGCTTCCTTTCCCGGTGGTGCTATAAGGACGATACGTCAACATGCCAACATGGGCCAAAAGTTCTTGCTGTATGTGATGAATTGAATGACTGCCTAGCCACGAGGTTAGGTCTTTTCCTGTCCGACTACATCTTCAATGTACTTCAAGATCTAGACAGATGGCTCCTATGCAAATCTGGCTCAAAGGCCCAAAGACTGCTGTACCAATGCATACTCGATCTCATGTCCACAACGTGTGCGTCTCCAAGCTGCTGGAAGCATATCATTATTTCGCAATGGAAGCAGGTGCTCACTTGACATGGCCTAGAACTTGGTTGCTGACTAGTTCCTGATATTGTTCAGTCACTGGAAACTGTGGCATTTGATTAGCCATTGCGATATGATTTCTTCTCTTCTTTTGGAAGCCTCTTGCTTTTATGACCTACTTTAGGGCAAATGAACCAGTTCTACCCTCCTTATATGTTATTGAAGGAGGTATGGTACTTCATATAGGGTCACTGGCCTCCTCTCGATTTGCTTAAGGCTCCTCATTCTCTTGTACTGAGTACAAACTTGAAAATACGGCTTGCTGAATGTAATAATTTCAAGCTATTAACGGTTCGTCTGGCTAATTTGTGGATGAGAAACGAAAAGCAATTTCAGGCAATATCGACAATACTAGAAGATTTCATATTCAATGCACCCTTCATCCACCCCAGAGTATACCTGGAATCTTATTTCCAATAATCGCAAAATATTACAAGCAGCGGTTTTCAACTTTATGTCGATACACTGAGGGCTTCAGAGAGCATTTGGAGTCCTCCAAGGGTTGCTGATGTCCTGAGTTACCGGAGCGCGAAGGTGCTGTCTCCAGGGTCTTTCTAGGATAGACTGACAAGACCTATGACTTTGGGACACAAGGAGACCCTTATTAATCTATGAATGACCAAACCTCGAACCAGTGTAAAATCAAATACAAGGTTCACCATGTGTGATTTGTTCCTAAATGCTTTCCAATAATAGTGGCTTGTTCACTGGCGTCTTGGAAATCGCGCAGCTCTTGAATTGGCAAGGTTGAGGTTGGCCATCCCTTTCGAAGTAGATACAATATCCGAGTCTTGACGGACTGGTTCGACAGAACATGTTTGTATGGTGATCCCGAGCGAAACGGGGAACTACTCATTCGTCACCCTGCTATTGCTTTCAATAAAACGGCCGATGGCCTACACTTGATATTATTATTGTCCAAAGACCACCGGCCTATCGTATAGAGTTAGTATCTCGAGGCCACGTCAAATATCTGTTCGTAATTGGCCAAGGATCTTATCAAAGTACCTAAAGTCATCATTAATTGAAGCAGTGCCAGAATTGCCGATAGTCATATCTTTTCGAGAGCATTATATATAAGAGGGTCAACAAGAGAATACTTCAATAAAGGAAAATTTATTGTAAAGACTGTAAGCAATTCGGGGTATCATCTGGCTTTACGCCATGTGCTCGCTTCTACTACTGAAACGGCTAATAAGCAAATAACACTTTTTTTTCGGTCTTCTTCCCTCGTATCTATTTCTCCATGTTCTTTTCCAGGTCCCGAATTATACCTACGGCATCTCGGCGACCAAGTTCGGATAGCTCGTACTGAGAGTCATTGTGCTCTGGGACATTGTGGAGGTGGTGTAAATCCGTGCCGGAGTCGTCCAGTCGCGCCCAGTCTCTATCGTCCCTTACTCTCGAGCCGCGGACAGAGTACGGAGGCGGCTTGCCCGTCTGTGAGTAAACGCTGTGCTTTCTTTGCATTCCTCGATTTGTTGTAGGGATTTGTGAGGGTCCTACGGCGGTACTTCGTACGGTGCTTCCAAGCCACCCTTTGAAGAATTGTCGCAGCATGGGTAAGGATCCGGCGATTAGGCCAATTCCACCTTCGAGGACAGACCAGAGGACAATGTTGCCGACCTTGTCTGTTCCAACCCGAGTTAGTCTTCATTATCTGGTAACATGCCGAAGTCAGTCACTTACAAAGAAAGTCTCCCAGCTCGTTGTAGTACCTCAGGTACGGAATTCGGATAATCGTTGACAGCGACGCCAATGAACCCAATGCCAGCACGATGCCAACAGAGAGCTTGACATTTCTCTTCATCTGCGCGTTCCAGAGGATACAGGCAGGAATGATGGCACATGCCCAATCCGTGACGATGGCGCCAGCCGAGATGGTATAGTTGAGAATAACTACCGTGCTTCGAGGAGCGCATTGGCCGCCGCCTTCCCACTGTGCCGTGATGGGACGACAGACGGAAAGCATACCGATGAAACCGACGAGTCCGACGGCTGTGGATAGCGCTATTGTGACGTAGAGTGCCCATCGATGCGCACGTTGGATGGCGATTCGCAACATTGTGATACAGATGCTGTTCTTGATAAAGACCAGGGATACCATGTAAAAGAGCTGCCATATCCATACATACTGCAGACCCATTAGCACAATACCTGCAGAAGAAACGAGGGCTCGATTCTCACCTTCAGGCCAATGATCTCCATATCATCATCAACTAAATCGGTCGGAGAGCCCAATCCTTGAAACGTGTCATACGAAGCCATGCCAGCAGCCACCAGGAACAAAGCCAAGCCAGTGGCCATTAGATAGTCATCCCAGCCTAGTATATTCGCCCGGCCTCGGATCCATAACCTGAGAGATACCACGCCCAGCGACGTGATGCCAAAGAATATCGACAAGGCCAAGATGACAGCCGAGAGACCTTGCGGCATCATGTAGGCCGCCTTTTGGCCGTCGGTATCCTCATTTGCTGATCCTCCCATAATTCCTCCTTCTGGCGGACGGTTCGAATCATCCATTCGGTGATCAAGAAAGTTGCTCGTATACGATGGTGTGGCTGGTTATGCCAGATTAAATGGTCGACCACTTTAATTCAACATAAGAAAAGACGA